TATTTGCTGAAAATTTTGTTAGGGAAAAATGATAGAACATACGCACATGTGGATCCTCACCTTTCTTTATGTCTATGCATGTGAGGAACAAATTAGTAGCATTCGTACCTTACTATGTTTCTCATTATCTGCACCCAACTAACATAAACACCAATCACAAGCCCCAACTGGTTTAGAGATTCATAATCTAGTAGTGCACCAAAATTGAGCAAAGGCGAGCCAAGGTGAAGCACGCACAACTGCAGACAACAACAAAAAGACATGTCAATCAGTCAGCCGTTAAACCTTAAGATGATATTAACACTATGATGGAACTTCATACGATGAATAAACAATGTGTTGGAGGAATAGAGCTCCACACAGTACCTCTAGTGCTAAAATAAAAAAATAGTGCAAGAACAAGATAGATTTAACTCTTCACTAAAAGATAAGTAGGAAGGAGCGACTGATGATATAATGAAGAGATTCAGTCAACCTGGGTCTAGGAATTAGCGTGCAAGGGGCCATTATTTAAATTTCTCTTCTTGTCTTCAATCAACCTGGGTCTAAGAACACAAAATGAGTCTAGCTAACTTTTTTTAGAATTACTAATTAAATTTTTCCCTGAATGAGTATAGTCCTTGAGAAAAAACTGCAGAAGTAATTATTTAATGAAAGCATTTTAGTATTGTATAGATGTGTTTGTACCACAAACATGAGAAGAGGGACCTTACAGTGCTTACCAATGCTAGGGATCAATGCTGCTCATATGACAACATCATTCAGACGAACATGCTTGATACCCAATTACGCGTAGAGAAAGAAGTGGTAAAATGCAGAGTATGCAACTGAACATAGACAGCAAGAGACTGAATGGCAAAGACATTTCTGCAAGCAAGTCGAGAACGAGAGGGCATGGCAATGGCAAGAGGAGGAGTGTCGGACCTTGTCCTTGGGGATGACCTTGACAGCGATGTCCTGGCCTTGTGCTCGCCCTTCTAGGCCTTGGCGGCGCAGGTGTATCCTAAGTGGCCACATCCGACCTCCTTGCCGAGCTCGTACTTGGCGAAGAAGTGCTTGGAAAAGCTTACTCCCTTGTCCAGGCCCAGCTCCAGCTCGCTGCCCTGAGGTAGATAGATGCCTCCACCAACACGCCCGGGCTCGAGTTCATCCATGGCCACCACCGCGCTCACCAACCCCTTCGTCGCCAGGCTCGGGAAGGGCAGAGTTGGCTGCCATATGGCTGGATCTTGCCGGCTCGAGTCGCACATCTAGGCGGAGGAGGCGAAGGGAGCACGACCGGGCAGAGTAGGCGAACGGCGGCAGGAGAGGAACGGGGAGGAAAGGGGGACAGGGGCGCGGCGGCGGCTGAGGCTGAGGCTGCAAGGACCAAGGAGCGACGGGGGCGGCTAGGGTTTTCGTCGCGCGAGGGCTCGCGCCCCTCGACCCTGAGCTTGGACGGGCAGGGCGAGGGGGGCGCGGGAGGGGAGAGGAGGCGGCGGTGAGGTGGGAGAAGGGGGGCGCGGGGGAGGAGAGGAGGCCGCGGCGAGCG